TACCTACCTACATACCATACAGCGATACCGGAGCGGTCTTTATCGACAGCGCGAGCAACAGATATACATGCAAAACGACTATGCACAAATAGCTGCAGTTTACATACGACGTCCGTGCTTACAGCAAGCAGCTCTACCTCACTGCCAGCGATTTTAGGGGACTGTGCTACGTGATTACCAAACGTATATACGTGCAATAAAAATAAAATACAACTACTTTTACATACTTTACGACGTCTCGCACGGCACCTCGAATGTAAACTATCTTCGTGAAACGTACAGATTTTTATCCGTTTTCCTACCGATGCGTTCCCCCTTTAATGTGAATGAAACGCAAGGAAACCGCGTAATTTTTCTTGAAATCGGAGGAAACGGCGCGCACGAAGCTGTGACCTTGGTGGACAACCATATGGTGATAGACTGAGATAGTCCGCTGAGAAAGACGGACTTATAGCAGATTCATACACGCCAGGTCTCTTCACAAGACAGCTATACATACATACACACACATATATATATATGTGAACTAGCACGCGCTAAAGCACCGTTTACAGCAAGAAGAATTTTGCTTCGTCAACGTCTTGATGGATAATAAGCGCGTCGTGAACGCACGCACCTCACAATAGCTGCCCCGGCGCGTGTAGTTATTTATTATGCACGACATATAGAAATTGGACACCCGCGGGGCTCTACGATGAAAAGCAGAAAGCAAACGCAAAAGCAGAGAGATCACGATCGCACACGACAATAAACCTCCTTCCTCATGTATAGCGAGATGAACTTAATATGAATAACACCGAACACACTACAGTGTAGTACTGCAGCGCTCCTCAGACCAATGTACCAAAATTTCGCGTGATGGGCACCAATTACCATATTAAATTATCATACCACGGCGCCCATCACACGCAAAAGAGATTTCACCACAACACGTTCTACAACAAATGCTTCTCAAACAGCAATAATCTGTAACGTACGCCCACACGCACCTACCATCGCACACAACATCGTATTCGTTGCGCGATGACACACATAAAATTCTGTCAATCACTTCAGGAAAAACGCATTACATGCATCACCCGTCTGACATTAACACGACATACGGCCGTATATATTCAGAATGCCAGTCCCAAGTCGTATAGATAATTATAGTCCATAATTATGGACCATCACGTCATGATACTGCCGCATTCGGCATCCGAATCATGATTCCTTACAAATACATTCGAAAGTATTTTGTCGATGAATACACGTGTTGATGTTATCAACCGTTAAACACACACCTACAATTTTCGACCCATTTTTCGCTTTTTATTTGTTTTTAGCAGTTCAACAATAACAGTGAGACGCAAGTACGGTTACGACTGCGCTGGAATATCTAAATGGTGTGTGCGCTATAATTTTCGATTACTGCAAACTCTCACTTATAGCCTCGAAATAAAATACAATGGAATATCCAGTAATCAACAAATAACAGACGAACAAACAATGACCACGTTACCTTACATACACAGGGCGAAACACACTATCATCCACTGACTGCACCTTCAGCGCAAAACAGTGCCACAGTTAAAATACATATTCTTCTATCTTATCGCCTAGTAAACAACGGAATCACACCACATCACATCCCCATTCACAGCGGGGTTTGTTACCGGTATCAACACAAATCACCTCCCCAAATACCGACAAATCATTGCCAGCACGACGAGACCAGCCACGTCAACAGTCTAAAACAAACGTCCTGATTCTCTAATAATAAAGAGTCTGCTCATTAATGAAGCGGATAACAACGCCAACCGAGGCAAATATACACCGGGAAACTATTGTCTATCATGCCAAAGTTTTTTTCTCACCTCTGGACGAACTATATATGGAATCGACTAGAGTTTTGGAAGTTTTTCTGCAATGAAGCCATATACTTAGCCAGAAATAAACACGACGACTACAATGATTCCATCCGCTGACCAATGAAATATTGCTAGCCTAGGATCAGGACGGAAATTCTACTCCGATAGTATCACAAACAAGACCTGTGTGTGAGGCTGAAACACGATCACGTACTAAAGCTCGGAAGGACCTCCCCATCACCACAGCTGTAGTCTACTTAGGACAGAATACACATATCATGTGCATCGTAACATAGCAATAGGCAGCAGATTCGAGCAAACCTAACCGCGAGCTGCTGACACTGCTGACACCAACACAGGCCGTGTCGATGTTTCGGTGTGTTACACCCTCACGCTGCCACTACAATAATAATAATTATTTTATACGCTTTCATCACTGTACTTACTGTTACAGATGTGCACGCATCCACAAGTGTTGCGTGCGGACAGCGTTTCTCTGTAAATAGCACCTGTCTAATAGATAGAGTGAACTAAACAAGTTTACACTGGAATGAATATAATGTACACCTACATATTTTTGATCTTGAAATTTGATCGGTTAGGAAGGGCCCTCTTTTAACACCTATCCCCTGAATGATGGAGAGAGCTGCTAGCAAATGGACCGAACCGTGGTAGCCAATCGTACAGACAATAAGTAGCAATCCTTATAGTTGCATTGATTTGTAGTCACACCTAGGTACTCATGCTGTCGCGAAACTGTAATCTGGCCAGCAGGAAGGTATACTTGGCCACAATACATTTGACATCCACACAGAATATATCGCAGCCTGGTACACACGACCTCTAGAAAAGTATATCCAGTGACATGAACACTAGAATCAGGTATCACTGTAGATTGTAAAGATTATAGACACTGGCAGCACAAATACAAATAAATAATGAGCGCCACCAATAAAATACAGTTATTAATAATATCAGTAGGTATAATATGATATAGTGCACGTGTAAGTTTCTCTATACGTCTTTCATAAATCATATACGAAATGAAACAAATCAAACCTACCACAGAATGTCAAGTGGTAATCATTAATAAACTATTGTGCAGACGAAAACACAAATGCTGGCAGTATATATTGTGGATATTAATATATACGGCAGAACTAATGTAAGCCTTGTATTTTTACTATTCCACTGCACACCCAGTTTTATTTATTACTTCAGACCAATTTCCAAATCTACTGGCATGGTGGTATCTGGAAATAAACTTCCAATATGAATAATGCAATCACCCTAGATAGCAGATATTACATTAGAATTTAAAGAGAAAACAGACCAAACAACTATTATTTTGATTTTAAAGGCATAATATTTCCATCGATTATGCAAAGTTGACGAATGCTACAGTAACTGGCACCTTGTGTAGTTAATAAGTACATTACCTTATAGCCAAACGCGTATATAGTCTTGTCCAAGATCACTGCTAATTACTAGGAGAAATGCTCTAATTTGACATCCGTAAATTCGCGTAATCTGGCGGCCAACGCTAAATTTATTGCCAACAAAATAAGCATCGATTTCGGTTCGGTGACTCTCACATGTTGCCCACAGGATTTGCCATCGAATTGTTGTGTACCGCGTAAATTTTTGCCGTAGTGACGCCGGAGTGACCGCGAGGCGGATTGGAAGCTGACGGCATATCCTTTTCACAACTATTATCATGTTGCTCTGTAATCTCAAGATCTTCATATATTCATTTATTTCCGGCCGATATCCCAGAGTAAAACCATAACGTACGGAATGCCGCGCACTCAGACACCAAGGATTCGAAATCACTGCACCGCCCGCAGCATACGTGCGAAAATGTCCGTGTGCACGTATAATTCTGCTAATGACACCGCCTCGCGCGTTACACGGCCGGCATGGCGCCCCGGTTGTAACTGTCACCACAACGCGATTTGATATGACCGCGGATTTCCAATTGAATTTCTTAGTACATCCAGCATGATATTTGGACAAACTAATACGCGTTTGGTACTAATGGTATGTACTTATTAATACACAGGTGCCAGTTACTGTAGCATTCTCATGTTAAAATTGCAAATCAATTGCGTCCGTCTTATTGCCTTTAAGTCACTAATTTGTTTCGTGTACAATATCGGTTACACTTAAACCAAATAAGCGTTATAAAAATCATTACAAAATCCGTTAACTCACGATATAAAACTGAATCCAAACCACTGAGACTAGAATTCGGTCAGAAATTGCAGTTTGGTAGTTGCACTTAGCAATCTTCTTTCTCTGCCCCCACTTAGTTATGCCCAAGCTTGGAATGCTTACTGCCTTTATAATCCGATTTGTACGAAAACTGTCTCGAAGTAAACACATGCTATCAAGAGCTAATAATACCTTAGATGTGCTACAACGGAAAAATAAAACCACCGGGAAAATAGTGCCTATTTCACGACAACCATTATTTCTACTTAGCCTGCGAGTCTATATAATTTTCATGTATTTGGCATTAAGCAGAATTCTTTGCTCTCTAAAAACAAGACCAACCCGCTTGTCAATACGATATAACTCCTAGGCGACGATATCGGCTCCTAAACCTTCCACCTCCCACATGCAAACGCGCCATGTCGAAATCCACTTCTGTCCCGCATCCTCTCACGCGTCTAAGCATTTTCGGCTATCGGTTTCCGCTGCAACCGGCCTGGGCTGCTGATAATTGATGTTCACATGCCAAATTGGTACTCTTACTAGCTGCGTTGTAGAGACTTAATTAATAAAACATTGCGCGGCTCCATCATGACGGGTATTAGCCGTGCTAGGAAAGAATAATGGGAGAATAAGGGCATAGGCGCGATGCCCCCGAAAGGTCACCTCCACCCTGCACCTGCACGCCGAAAATCATTCATAAAATTATGGCGGAAAACCCGAACTCTCACGAAGCAACGCTTAGCGCGCGCGTGAAGGATGGGACAGAAGTGGATCAGAGCGGCGTTTGGCATGTGGAGGGGAGGTTTATAGGAGCCGATATCTCCGCCTAGGAGTATCGTATTGACAGCGCGTTGGTCTTTTTTAGAGAGCCAAAAGAATTCTGCTTAATGCAATACATTGCAAATTATATAGACTCGCAGGCAAAGTAGAATAATGTTGTCGTGAAATAGCACTATTTTCCCGTTTTTCCGTTGTACACTCTAGGTATTATTAGCTCTTGATGCTATGCATGTACAGGCACCAGTAGACACTGACACCTCACACATTTGGGTCTTTCTCACAAATAGCTGCCATTTCCTTGTCAGCGTCGTCAGATGGGCCGACCCCGTTACGCAGTGTCGCTTTCTCGTCCGGTGTTTTCTCACAGAGGTTCTGCATGACTAGGCTCTCATCTTCGACCGCCTCTGGTTTACCTGCGTCCGATTTCACGCCGAAGCCTTTCACTATGTCCTCAATTGACCGGCCCTTCGTCTCCGGCATATTGCGATAGATGTAAACCCACAGAACCACAGAGCATCCACTGAAGATGAGGAACACGTAGGGCCCCATCACCTGCAATCAAAGAGCACCGTGTCACGAGACTAAATACAAAGAGCGGTTACCGGTGCGACAGTTCGCTGCACTCGGCACAACGTCTGCACTAGTGTGCAACAATTTAACTACTCTGGCATGCAATCCCGTGCAGGATATCCTCACTTATCACTTCCTTCTTCCTTCAGAGAAAATCATCTACAATCAGTATACTGTTACGCAGAGCACAACCAACAGGGAGGTTTTAACAACCATGTGAACCATACCTTTTTCAGCGTAGGGAAGCTGACGCCAACCAGTGTATTGGTAACGTACATGACGATGAAGGACATGCTAACAGCAGAGGGCCGTGCATTCTCACGGAAAAGCTCCGGGGTGATCATGAAGCAGATTGTAGCTGGGAAACGTGAGAAAAACTTTATGATAATCATTACACCCTACCACACATCTTTCGACAAAACATCTGAATTTATCTGTACTATGTACGCGGGCTTAACCTTACAATCCTGCCATATTACCACGCTGATAGATTTAGTAACATGGAGGTATGGGTTTGCTACCACCATTGAATGCATGGAAATATATATATATATATATATATATATAATATATATGTACTGTGTTGAATATTGCAAACTTGCAAGAAATATGTAGAGCAAATTAAAAAAAAACGCCTCCACTCGACGCACACAGCATACGATAAAACTATAAACAGATAAGCCTAAGCCTGGTGCACATGAAAGCTATGCTACGGTTTTAGTCGCCGGATTTTATCGCAGGAAATAATCGGTGTATATTCCGCGCGCCACGCTGTGTGCGCTGGTTACCGATTAAAATCGTGATAAATATTGCAAGATCGATCATGTGACTTTGGCATTGGCATTATTATTAAGAGCACCAGCGATAGCTTTTAACGCATGTGACCTCTTATTGCGGTTTTGTATTCAGATGATGTTGTGTCATAGAGACATTTATGCTGCGACCATATTAAAAAGTAATGCGACTATAATATCAAAAGGTAATGCTTCCTTTGCGTTGTCCCAAAAAAATGTGCCACTTCCATGGACGCTGCCAATTTGTTTATCATGTGATTTTTGCTTGATGCCGATTGGCCCATGTAACCGGGTTTTTCCATTTGAACACCACACACGCTACGGTCCGATTTTATCCGTGCGATTTTTATCGGTAGATATCATCAAACCAGTTCTCCAATCAGTAGCAAAAATCGCAGGGTAAAAATCGCAGGATAATGAAACCACACACACGCTCCGAATTCACACCGGTAAGGAACGGAAAGTGTAGTAGTACTAGTACGAGAAAAACCGTAACGTGTGCGCCAGGCTTTAGCTAGCATATTTGACATGAGTCCTGCTTTACTTATTTTGGTGGAAGTATACGTTAAAATAAAGCTCTGTACTTACCAGGGCCAAATGTATTGAAGGAGATGAAGAGAATAGTAACCGCAACACTAGCAACTCTTGCCCATGCGTATTGCTGAAATAGAACCGAGAACATTCATCACTCCATATGTATTGCATATACTCAAGGTTGGAATTCATTTGAATTGTACTTATTTGTGTGGATAAGAATTCTTAAGCTTCTAAAAAATGAACACGATGGTAAGCAAAACATTAAAATTCTATATATACAACACACGTACGCAGGAACGCACATAAAGTTCCTGTAAATTATTACGAATAAATCCGGTTAACAGCACAGTCATACTATTATTCAGTCGTATCACCCACAATATCAGGTGTTGTCATCTGGAAGAGGCACGAGTCATATTTGCCTTAACGAAAGAACCTAGCTAGTGTTGTGTAGGAGTTGCAATGAACCACTAATGATGCCACATCATAGATATTATATACTGCTAGTGTTGTCAATCGGTTGTAATTTCTTAATCGATCATCGGTTGGACCCAAGTAACCGATGATTGGTTACAATCGGTTACTCGGGGTGTTGAATGCCTGCGTGTGCGTAACGTCGTGTGCATGTATGTGCTTGTTTAGCCCTGTTTACTGTTTGTTTTGCACTGTTTACTACTGTGTGTATAATACCTGTACTGATTCTCATCAGTTTTCCAAGTTTTTTTTTATTTTTTTGCCCCCGATGAAATCAATTATGGATTTTGATAACCAAGCGCTTGGTTCAAGCCACTGTTCAACCGATGATCGAGTATAATCGATGATCGTGACATCACTAAGCGCTTGGTTCGAGCCACTGTTCAACCGATGATCGAGTATAATCGATGATCGTGACATCACTATATACTGCCCATCTGTCCGATTACTGTCCGTTAGATATTTTAGACAGTATTTATTTTGTGAATGGAGTAAGAGATTGAATAACCCAATAAAGCTAACGTTTATACCTATAAACATCTACAGCATAAAATATAGCGACAAGGCCGAGAGATCAGCCTGCGACCTTTGAGTATTTTATCAACAAGCTAACTGTATGTTATATACTACTTTATGCGCGGGTACACGCACGTGCACGCGGGTACACGCAGATACACGCGGGTACACGCACGTACACGCGGGTACACGCACGTACACGCATGTACACGCACGTGCACGCGGGTACACGCACGTGCACGCGGGTACAAGCGGATACACGCACGTACACGCAGATACACCCGCGTGTACGTGCGTGTACGTGCGTGTATCCGCGTGTGCCCGCGTGTACGTGCGTGTATCTGCGTGTACCGCAGTGCAACCGCAAGTTAAGATCACGTGACTCGCTTGACCTGCTGCTATTGGTCGGTTACATAGAGCCGGTGCCGGGTGGTGAATTTCAAAGCCATCCGCAGACGCTGTGCAATCTGCCACAGCTGGAAGAAAATATCAACACTGTGATATTTTCAGACACGCAAGAAATCGAATGGTTTGCATGACACACGCTGTGTTTTGTGCTGCGGCCATCAGCCACGCGTGGCCGAGGCGCAGCACAAAACACAGCGTGTGCGGCTGGCTTTATTTTTGAACTTTGCAATATTTACAATGTTTTGCACACACAATACTAATCTGGTTAGATTCCTGTGCTCCAAATAGTAGGTTTTGTGATTTTAACATTAATGTATTTGGTGAGACCCAGTTATATTTACAGACAACTTTTACGCTAACCCTGTTGGATCAGCTCTGTAAAAGTGGATATTGATTAATAACTTGTCGGAAGTGGTTTTTGAATTAGTGCCAAATTCAAACCCCTGCATAGAATACACAAACAATTTTATGATATTACGGCAGACATGTATAGCTGCATACCTGTTAAGAAAGTCTGCTGAATGTCTGAGTCTTACCAGTCACAGTTGACATCTCCTTGCCATGCATTCATTAAAGACAAATAGTGAACATCGCATGGCGGGACTACAAAGTCATCGACCTCTAGACTTACCGGAAAGCTGAGAACGATGGCCAGAATTGCGGTCATTACTGCCTGGCACCAGTGCAACCAGCTGTGGAATCCTGCGCCCCCATCTTTCCAACACGTACATACTGAACATGTTTGTAAGAAGTTTCATTGCTCCAATGCCCATGTAGCAGTATGCTGCCTCGGGTAGGTGTTGTTGATACTTGTAAACAGCTTGGTCGAGTAATACACACGCTGTGAGCGACAAAATTCCCCGATCTGAATCACGAACAGTGAAGCTTGAGTCGATATTAGGCTGTTTCACTGATATCATTATTGATCACATTAGCCATGTTTACAACCACAACGAATAACGTTTTAAAACCGGCTTTATTAATATGCAATAGATACCAATAACCATAGAAAACCTCCCTAGCTGTGTAACATGTCAGTGTCACTGACTCAGTGACATGACTGAGAGTATTGCCGGGTTCATAGTAGTAAAACACATGTTGAAATAAGGACTTATAAGACGCCTTTCTGGAGGCCAAAATAAGAACTTTTTACGCGATTTTGATAGATCACCGACATTAAGATACACTAATAACAGAACAAACAAATCTCCGCATTCAGCGATCAATATGACAAACCGCGATCTTTTATGAAAAAGACGTTTCGCCGAAATTCAAGACAGAAAATGTTTAAAATGGTCCTTTACTCAAAATTTAATCAAAAATAAGGACTATTAAGTATTTTCTAAGATTTCACCAAAATAAGTACTAATAAAGGCCCTATTTTATTTTTGGCAAATAAGTTTTATAAGACTTTGGAAGACCCGCTACGAACCCTGATTGCATGAGGAATATGGAATTCAGTATGAAGTAATCCTCATGTAAAGGTACGTACAGCAATAACCACGCTACGGCAGAGAGAGTTGGATTTGAGCAGGAGACAGACGAACAATGCTGCGCGCAGACCAGGATCTCTCAAGATATCAAGCCAGGAAGCGCTGCAAGACAGATATCATGTGTA